GATGATAGATGTATGTTATGCATTGTTTTGTGTTACTGTGTTGTGGTGAATGTTTCCATTCATATCTTTAGACTAGCCACATGATCCTACCAATACAGAGTTGTTTGTGTACTTATAATGCACATGTTCTTTTTCTTGTTAAGTACATGGCATCTTCTAGTGGTTGATCTGAGACCTTAGTTGAGCGATGCCTAATTTTGAGTCCAAGGGTGAGCTTTCTCTTTCAGGCTACCATAGATTCTTCTGCATCTTCTTGTCTATTTGTTATGACATAGACTTATATACTTTAGTTTGTGTTTGGTTTCGGGGTTGAACCCCCAAGTTGACTCCTTTAGAATTTTAGGTATGATGACTTTCCATTCGTAGGGGTATATCCGCAATGAATGTTTTTAAACTATAAGTTTGAGTTTATGGAAACTTAGTTCTTTACTAATAAAGTGTTTTTTCTTGTTGATATTCTAAACTTGGTTTTTTTTATAAATTGTATTCGGTACATTTTGGTTAGTATTTTGTTTCTCTCACAAAGTGGTTTAGTGTGGTTTGGAGTCGTGAAATAGTATGACTTATCTCATATATATATATACATATATATATATAGTTTAGACTAGCCTTTTGTATTAGAGAAAAGTCAATACATTTTGGTCTACTTTTGGGATTTGTAACCTTATAGCAACTTGGTACTCTGGTCCACCAGGTCATGAGGTTGGATCTTGTACTCTTGTTTATATTTGTTGATGTATTTCTCATTTTGATTGTGTTTTACTTATTATTTTTCTTACATTCTCATTAGTTGTTAATTCTTCTCTATATTCCTGCTACTTGTCATTCTGGAATATGAGTTGGCTTACCTACTTGTAGATTATGGTAAGTGACATCATGACTGGAGTTTTAGGATCGTGATAGATAGGTCGGGTCCTTGTTCCATTGAAATACTATACTATTAGAGGTTTGAAATTTTAGGTTTTGTTGTAAAAGCATGATGAACTTATCGTCCATAGTTTATCTTTCTTGTATGTCTTATGTTATAAAAATTGTGGTGGTCTTGTCTACCAGCACAGGAACTGATATGATTATGTTATAAGAAAATTTGTAGTTACTTGAAATCATCACCAACACTCTAAGTATGGCATTCTTGATCTTAGTTTTTGTTGGATTATTCTTTATTTATCTGTGGTTGAGATGTTTCATTTGTATACATCCTATGTATAGGTTTTGTATGAGTTCTTTTGTTTTTCGATTTAAAAACACAAGACGAGAGTTGGATAGAAGCGAATCTAAATTTTTAGGTGGGATTGTGCTTGTGTTTTGGGATAGTTGATGTAAAGCTTGACATAAATTTGTATTTACATAAACATAATTATGAATAGGTCTTTTAGAGTTGAACGACGATAGATACAAATGGGTACGTACAAGTTTTGATAAAAGCAGATAAATATTTGATACATGACTTATTTTTAAATTGTTTGTTTGTTCCATTTATTTTACATTCCCTCTAGAAATTTATAAATAATTAGCATGTACCGTTACCTCGCATTAATTAATGTTCGATGAATATTATATATATATATATATATATATAGGAATTTCATATCATAGAGAAATTAACACATTATCAACGTTCTCTGTTGTTTACTATTTTAGTAATACCATAACATCCAAGAAAATGCATCATGAAAAGAAGATCATCAGAAAGTCTTCAAAAAATGATTCTTCATGAAAATCGACTACTTGAGTCAGACAAAGTTTCTCTATCTTGCCCAATTCTATAGAAATTTACTTATGGGGTTGCGATCTAAGCATAAACCCTTCTAATACAAATGAAGGGAAGGCCATAAGATAGAAGTCAGAGCGACATAAAAAAGGCACTTTTAAAGAAAATCATCGTTAAGCATAAAACCAAGATGTAATTTCAAAGTGAAATTCCAAATAGAAATAAATTATAGGACCGCAAGAAAATGTGAAATTAAGCTACCACAAGAAAATATCTTGTGTACTTTTTCACATTTCATGTTTGTGCCTTAATTTCTTTATCTTGGAAATTTTTGATTGAGATTAAATCATTGTTTTTATTCTTGATGATGATTTTCTTTTATCATGACTCTTTTAGGTTGCTATGCCATCTCTCTTATTATTTTCCCAACATCTATAATAGTCGGGTTCATGATGAGATTGCTACCACACAAGTGAATTTCTATAGGATTGGGCAAGACAAAGGAACTTCCTCCAAACTCAAATAGCAGAGTTTCTAGCAGAATCATTTTTGGGAGACTTTCTGATGACCTTCTTTTTGTGATGCATTTTCTTTTATATTACGACATTAGGTAAAGAGAAAACAACAAAGAGCGTTACAAATTTGTTAACTTCTATATGATATGAAATTATTTTTTATTTCTATATGCATATATATATATATATATATTCATCAAACATTTATTTAATACGAGGTGTGTACCCTCATTCTTCATAAATTTCTAGAGGGAATGTGAACTAAATAAAACCACAAAGAAGTTAAAAACGAAAGACTCGACTTCAAGAGTCATGTATCATATATATCTATTTGTATAACAACACGTATCTACCAGTTTATATCTATCATCGTTCAACTCTAAAAAACATATTCATAATGAGGTTTCTTTAAAGACATATTTATGTCAAGATTTGCATAAACTATCACAAAGCACAAGCACAAGCTCACATAAAAATTTATATTTGCTTATGTCTAGCTCGACTAGTATTTATAAACATAAAAATAAATAAATCATAAATTCATCAAAGAAAGTTATAGTGTGATCAAAACCTCAATTTAGACCTAAATCTTAAGCATCTAAGACATATATAATATTTGAGTCTAGAAATCACATGTCACATAGGTATATCACATCATAAAGTGTAATTGGATTGTGAAGAAAAATGAAAAAAAATAAAATTAGAGTAGAAGTGAGCACATAAATAAAGGAATTGACAAAGAATCGTAACAACTTTTCTTTCTCAGAATCCTTGATAGCTAGGAAGTGAAGTTTGTTTGAATATTATATAGAGAGAGTGTAAGGACATGTGTTCGATTGAAATTTGCATGTCATGCAGGTGGCAGTGGCGATACAATCATGAAATGAAACGGCGTAAATAATGAAGTTTTGTCAATTACTTATGTTTGGGAAAGTTTCATTTATTAGGCCTTTCTTCGTTTAAAATTTGTGAATGAACGCAACAAGAAATTAAAAGGAATATGCAAATTTTAAAATAAAACTAGCAATATGTTCTATATTTTGTACTAGAGTTGGAGTTGAAGATAGAGTTATGTTGAATTATACAGTTTGTTAAAAATATTTGGAATAGTGTTTATGCTTAAAGATCATACTTAGATACAATAATTTAGCTTTTCTTGAAATATGGATTGATGTGCTAGACAAGTGAAACTTGCTCAAGTGGTTAAAAAACCTCCATGTCACGATCCAAAATGGGACGTGATGGAAAATGTCATTTGTCACCAAGACAAGTTAGCCGCAACTAGATTTATAATACTTTGAAAATACCTTGTCTTAATTCAATACGTCAATACAAGGCTTGAGACTTCTCCTTTTAAAGAATATCGAATGCCCCACAATATAGTTCAATCAATGAATCACAATAAGATTTCAAAAAATAACAACTGCCAATTCAGACATGTTGAAGAATGGGTCAATCAACTCAAAAACCCAATTATGAAAATGAGGGTTGAATAGAAAAAGCTTTACTTGAAAACATCAGTCAAAACCATTTAAAAAAGGAGTTAAATAAGTTCACAATCACCATTTCACTTTAGAACTAAAGTTCTTGAAAAACCTTGCAATTTGCTAATAAAAATCTCAAGTTTTGTAAAAGGGAAATGAAATGAATTTTAGGGTCACAAAATCTTACCCAAATGATTTATCATAAGAAATTTCTTCAAAATCACCTCCAAGGGTTTTACAAAGCTCAAAATGGGGAAAAACTACTAAGACCCCAAAAATGGCAGGTCTAAAACCCCCTCTAATGTCGCAAAAGTGACCACAGATTCGCAAAAGACCTTATCTAAAGAGAAAGCAAACGTCCCGATCATGACACACCCTATCACGATCGCAAAGGTCAAGAAGAATAACATCTTGCGAATGCGACCAATTATTCGCTGAAGCGACATTCGCAAAAGTGAGTTGTCCATCACTAAAGTGAAGCACACATACACTAGAAAATATCAGATAACTATTACATACTCGGAAGGACCATCGGAATTTGTTTGGAACCCCATACACAGAAATCGTAAATGCAAATCGACTATACTCGACGTTTTGGACACAATGGATTCGTTGAGACAAAAAATTGAGATCTCCTTGAATGGAAATATATGAAAGTTACAAGAAATGAACATAACGCCTAAAAAGGCTAAATCTGGCTCGTCACCTCTAAAAATTAAATCAAGACCTCACCTAGGCCTAAAATCTTCCCTTAAATCAAACAAAACTCTCAGAATTGCAACACAAGCATCTAAACCCTAAATATTTACCAAAGTCAATAGTTTCAAATTCAAGATCTTTCCAACGCAGGACGTCAAATCCTCAAAATAACTTCGAATTTGAAATGACAACTCTTTTGGACCAATTTTTACATTCATGACTAATTGAATCAGTGAAATTTCATTCTGACACTCAAAACTCAAAAAGTCATTGAAAACTACTTTTTAGCAATTTTAGCCTTTCAAAATAGAAAATTTCTCAAAATTTACACCTTTTGACTCAAAACTTGAAACAAATTTCAAAACTTATTCAAAATTGACTCATGGCCAACATTGAGAGAGGAAAATTGGTAATTTTTATGAAAATTTCCAAAAATGATCTTTTAGGTCATTGTATTATCCAACAATAAAAACTATGTTCATCTTCGAACCTGAAGTAAAATAAAGTACCTAAAGCCTAAAAAAGCCAAGGACATCTAGCACACATGAAGGACTTTATCTCCCAAGTAACCTCACATAGAAAATGGTGCTTTCACTGCATCTTCATTGAAGCCATCTCCTTACTCCTAAGCTTTTGGACCTTGCTATCTAAGATGGCTATAGGCTCCTCCTTAAAAGTCAAGTCTAGACCTAATACAACTAAATCAAGAGAAAGCACATGGGACTCATCTAGCACGTACTTTTGAAGCATAGAGACAAGAAGCACATGATGCACAACTGACAATTTAAGTGGCAAGGCCAACTTATAGACCACCTCTCCAACTCGGCTCAAAATTTCAAAATGTCCAATGAATCTAGGGCTAAGCGTTCCCTTCTTTCTGAATCCTATCACACCTTTCATGGGAGACACTCGGAGCCAAACATGATCACCCTCCATAATCACTAGGGCTCAAACTCTCCGGTCTGCATAACTCTTCAATCGAATCTTAGCTATTAACAATCTACCTTTGATCATACATACCTGCTCCATAGCATGTCTAAGCAAGTCTGTATCCCAAGAGTGTATCTCATCCTAATCAAACCAATCGATCGGAGACCTGCACTGTCTTCCATACAACTCCTCAAATGGGGCAATCTAAATACTGGAATGATAATTGTTGTTGTTGGAAAACTCTACGACGGGAAAATGATGATCCTATCTAGCACCAAGATCAATCAAACAAGCTCAAAACATATCCTCCACTACCAGAATCGCCCGCTCGAGAAGACTATATCTATGAAGGTGGAAAGTTGTACTCATATCTAACAGAGTACCCATACCATGTTGTAAACCCTTCCACAAATGGGAAGTGAACAAAAAACCATGACCAAATATAATAGAAATAGGGACTCCATGTAATCACACAAACTGACTTCTATAGAGCATGGCTAACTTCACTCCAATATACTTCACCCGAACTGGGATGAAATGAAAGGATATGGTAAACCTTTCAACAACAACCCAAATTGAAATATAACCAGCCATGGTGGTAGGTAGATCCACAACAAACTCCATAAATATCCATTCCCACTTCCAAGTAGGAATAGAGGAAAAAACCTAAAAATAAAATTTGCAATATCCCTCTTCATGTCACACCACCATTAGTGTTATGTCTGGTCATGATACATTTTCACCGCTACTAAATGAATATAATATCGAGAAAAATAGGCCTCCTCAAGAACCAATCTAATAAACTCACATGTCTTCGGCACAATAATCATGCCTCTGATAGTCTAGACATAATCAGAATCGAGGACAACCTTTTTGGCTTACCCTATCAAAACTTTGCCTCAAATGAGATACAACTTCTCATCATCAAATTGGTGCTCACGAATCTGTCTAACCAAGGAAGAACATGCCTTTATAAAACAATCAAACTCCTCAAAAATTTTCAATTGGACATGAACATTGGCTAACCTCTTAACATCTCTATAAAATAGTCTCTCCCTAGCACTTATAGAGGAAATACTCCACATACTAGAAGTGTTCCTACTCAAGCCATCGACCGCCATATTGGCCTTTCCAGGGTGATACAAAATGGTAATTCATAGTCCTTGAATAGCTGAAGCCATTTACGATGCCTCAAGGTCATACCCTTCTTATTAAAGATGTACTGAAGACTCTGATGGTAAATTAAGACCTTACAATTCACCCCATACAAATAATGCCGCAATATCTTAAGCTCTAACACTATAACTGCCAACTTTAATTATGGATAGGGTAGTTCTTCTCATGGGCCTTTAACTGTGTAGAAACATAGGCAATTATTTTCCCTTTCTGCATCATAACAACACCCAACCCGACTCTAGAAATATCCCAACAAATGGTGAAATTGACGCGCTCCTTAGGTAAATTCAAAGCAAGATATGAAGTCAACAAGGTCTTGAGCTTTTGAAAACGCTCAAACTCATTAGGCCACTGGAAGCTCACATTCTGTTGAATCAATCTACTCAAAGAAGATGTGATAGTTGAGAAACTCTAAACAGATCGCATATAATAACGTGTTAAGCCCACAAAACTCTGAATGAATACATTGTACAACAAGTCCTACAACTGATCCTTCAATTCATTCAAATCTATTAGAGCCATGCGATAAGGATGAATACAGATGGGTTTGTTGCCCCACTCCAAGTCAATAAGAAAATCAATATCCTATCCAGTGGAACACTTGAAAGATCAGTAAAAAAGACATCTGAGAACTCTAGAACCACAAGTACAAAATTTATGGGATATGGTTCAACACTAGTATCACAAATGAAGGCCAAATAGGAAAAACACACTCTATCAACAAATCATTTAGATCGAATGAAAGAGACAACCTTGCTAGGATAAGAATCACTAGAACCCATCGAGTCAACTCTCAAGAAACCCAACATTTCTTAGTTCACATCTTAGCATAATAATCAAGAAGAGCATAATATAGGGATATCCAATCCATTCCCACGATAAAAAACAAAGTCTATCCTCTCAGAATGATCAAGTCTACTCAAGTATCATACCCAACCAAAGAAACAAGACAGGATCGATACACTCGATCCACCACAAAGGAGTGACCCACTGGTGTAGAAAAATGAATAGGCATATGCATGCTATCAGACATCATATAAAATCGAGCAACAAAATAGGTAGACACATACAAAAAAGTAGACCATGGATCAAATAATATGGACGTAGGTTTATAGAAAACTGGAATGATACCTATTACCACTACATCAAAAGCCTCTTACTCGGGCCTCCTACATAAATCATAACATTGTCCCTCTCAACCACATGTAGTCTTAATAGAACTCGTACCTTTACTCTATGGAGCTATATCACCCTTACCTGAGTCATGCCACCTCTCCAAATGAACTACATCCTCAACCACTCATTGAAGGTGCCGAATATGTAGCTGGAGCAAATGAATAAGTATATTGGGGTCTTGTGAGCCTGTAGAACACATGCCTAATAATATGACCTAGATCTCCACATCCAAAATAAGACCTAGATATGGGTGACTTCTCTTGCAAACCAGATGACTACCACGACCATATCGCTAGACCTACATGATCCTCAGGATGTCTACCCACTCTCACCTAATGGCATAGATGCATGAAACTGACCCACGATTCTGAAAGAAGCTTTTACCTCTATATGAACCTCTACCTCTGAATGAGGCACCATAAAACTTACCAAATGATCGGACCCTCTTAGTGTCCTCAAGATCCTCTCTAACCACCAACTTAACATCCTAGGTGGTACTCACAATGGACTAGAAGGAAGCCCAAAATCTTGACACTAAGAACATATAATAATTGATGGAAAAATTCAACTCTCTCACGAACCTACAGACTCTCTCGACCTCATCAAGAATAATAGTTATGAGGTTCCTAGATATCTCATAGAAATGGGCCTCATACTTAGTCAAAGACAAATTGCATTGTCTCAAGTCTTAAAATCTTAGACGACTCTTCTTCCTCATGCTTAAAGGAAAGAAATAGTCATGCAAAGCACTAGAGAATGTATTCCACTTTGCTGGAGGAGATCCAATTGGTCTAGACCTTATGAATGTCCTCCACCACTCTCTGGCTGGTCCACGAAGCATAAGTACAACAAAATAGATACTAAAATCATCCACCATATATACTGCCTCAAACATCTAAAGGCACAAGGTCAAGACCATATGAGAATTCCCGCTCTTACAACCCTAAAATTGGGGTGGTTTCATCTTCTAAAACCTCTCATAACGTTGCTTCTCAGTTGCCATCAGAATAACCTCAGGAGCGATCTATGCACCTATAGCCTGTTACATAATAAGTGGTGACAGACCCACCTGATCATGAATACCTAGAGCCTTCTACTAACTAGGGGTCTATGCCACTACCCTCATCTGAGAACCCTATCGTGTACCTGCCGCACCACCTTAAGAGAAGATCTCCATCATATTTAACAACCTTAACAAAGTTTCCTAAAACAGATGAGCTCAAAATCTGGGAGGAACCTGGTTCTCAGAAATCTTAACATGTGGTTCAGGAAAAGCCTCTCTAGGTCCGCCTCTAGATGGTGCCGCTCTAAAGGCACGACCTCTAAATTGTGCTACTTTAGGAGTACATCCTCTAGCTCGAGATCTAACCCTACCCCTAGTAGGTGTCTCAGCAACTACCTTTCCTCTACCACTAGGATATGAAGCTCTGGTCCACGGCATCATCCAAAAAAATAGGCGACAACTCAGAACAAGCAAATGTAACCACACATGATAAGAAAGAATGAAATAATGAAGTTTCCTAATAGTCTTCATAACTTATGGAAAATAAGTACACACGTCTCCATACCGATCCTCCATACTTTACTTAGACTTGGCTTGGTTATTAGTGGTGCATTTTCACTTATTGAAGGTCAATTTAGTTTAATAATTAGTGTCCTCAATGCATAATTTTGTCCTATTTTGATAGAATATTGATGATTTACAGTTGTGAAGGCAATAGGACAAGGTAAGGATTGATGTTTGATAGAATGGACACATATGCAAAAGGAAGTGCAAACTATACATTGTTCATCGACTAACAAGAAGGGCGGATCGCCAATTTAGAACAACCTTGGCCAAAATTATAGTGCATAACACTTGTTTGTATAAAAATAGGTTGGTGGAATACATTAGAGAAGGCGATGTACCGAATGAGAAAGGTGACCTTGATAAACATCGCCAAAAATGACAATGCGAAAAGAAAAGATTGAATGCTCGAAAGGTGAACCAAGGTGCTACTCAGTGATTCACCAAACATGAAAGGCTAACTCAATCGAGTTCGCTAACTGATCTTCAAAACACCTAAAATTTATAGTATCAAAAGGCGAGCTAAGGAAAAACAGGTGACGCACCAAACGAGTTTGGTGAGCCTGACTAATATCACTGATTGAGTAGTGCATTTGAATTTTAGGCCTAATTATTTGAAATTTCAAATAGCCTGAAAAAGAGAGAAATTAGATATCATATCACATAGAATAGAAAATATCAGATTGTGTGAAGAGTTGAGAGAAAAAAATACTTTATCTTTGTAGAACACTTTTCTATATTTTGGGGTTTTACAACTTTGTGCTTGAAATTGACAAATTGAAGTAGAATCCAAAGTATTTCTACTTTTGATTTCTTAATTTCATGTTACCCATGGATGCTTTAATGAAAGGTATAATATTTTACAATTTTTGATGTGTTGATAAAACCCTAAGATCTATGGGTGCAATTATGTGGTTAGGTGTTGATTTATTGTAGTGGGTATTGTGATATGCTCTATTTTGTTGCTAATCATACGTGAATTTGGTCTAATTAGCATGGGATTAATTTAAGGGTTAACATTTAAAACTTAATTCCTACTTTCAATCTCCGTTTAATGCTCAAAAGAGATTGAATGTAGTGGGTAATT